TGACTCCAGTTACGTCTAGGGGGTAAACCCGGATGTGGTAGAGGTATTAGCATGCCTTAGCCTATTTGACATTCTTTAGAAGTCGAAAAAGGATGAATATTGGTGGAAGGGTGTCTAACATGTGTTTAGGTTGATTCATGGTCAAAACTTTTAGGTACGAATTCACAAGGACAAAACAAGGGCCCCTGAGGAGGACCCTTGCATTTTGGGGTCAAGGAATGCCTGGGCAGTGTGCACCCGTGACAGGAGGCGACGGAACGTGTGTGTGGATAGTCAAGGCATCAATTCCATTTGTTGACCAACACTTAGTCAAATACATGAAGGACCTGTTTTGGGAGGTCTCTGAACTCATCAACATATGAGAAGCATGGGAGGGGGGATTGGTCGTCAACTCATAGACAGACCGTTAGCCGAGGTCTCGTCTGTAAGGGTCTTACTTTGCTGCATGTTTTTAGTTGGTTCCAATTAATTAATTAAGGTGTTAGGTCATTATTTTGTGGGTAAAGGGAAGTATAATTAAGTTTATTAACACCCCATATAAAGACCCCAACACATTATACTAATCTAAACTCTCTTAACTCATAAACCCAAACTTCTTCCTTATCTCCTCTTCTTTTTCTCTCTAGTGAAGAACACCATTGAATACCAAGATAAGGGAGGGTTTAAGGGTTGCAAAGAGTCAAGTTTCACCATCAATTAACAAGTTATGATATCTAATTCACCTTTGAGACCTTTTTCCTCAAAAGGTTCCATCAATTGATTTCAAAAGTTGTGTTTCTAAGTGGGTCTTTTCCAATCTCGTAATTTATGTTATGAATTGATTTATTTATGATTCCTTTTATATACACTACAAGAAAGTGGAGATACAACGATATTTTTTAAATGTCGTATTAACATGTTTAAATGTCACAAATTTGTTTACTGACATTTATTTTACATTTGGATCAAATGTCATATATTTTAATGTCGGGGATTTTCTTAGCATTTAGGTAATTGTCGGGAAGAATTTATTACATTTAATTTGTGACATTTAGGTGAATGTTGAAAATAACTTGCGTCATTTACTTCGCAATATATATGTAAATGTTTGTAAGATTATTATGACATTTATTTTTTGACATTCATGTGAATGTCGGTAAGAAATGTATGACATTTATTTTTGACATTTAGCTGAATGTCAGTATGAGATATATGAAATATATTTTTGATATTTAGTTTAATATCAATATGAGATATATTTTCAATAATAAGGTAAATATTTGTATGAGATATATGACATTCATTTTTGATATTTACATAAATGTCGGTATGAAATATATGCCATTTATTTTCGACATTTAAGTAAATGTCAATATGAGACATATGTCATTTATTTTTTCGACATCTATGAAATGTTACTTTAACTTTCTGACATGTAGATTAATTGTTGGTAAAAAAATTTAAAGACACTAGCTTGTGACATTTATAAAACTTTACATTGAACTTTCTAACACTTCAGTTAATGTCAACAAATGTTTTTATTGAATTTCATAAAATTGGTTACAGTATTTTATATTTTGCTAAATTTCATATTAATATTCTAACGTCGCTATCAAATTTCTTTAAAAATCCCAGAAAAATCTAGATATAATTTTTCTGAAGACACATACATACAAACAATTCGTACATTCAAAACCATTTTCTGAATGATAAGCAAGAAATATTATATAAAGCAAATATTATCTAATATTATAATCAAAAAACAAAATAGCAAAATACAAGTTTTCTGTAGAAGTAAACAATCTCAAAACAAATTCTTTTTTCTATCTCAAGTAAAATTGAGATCTAACTAAATGTAGTAATCTCAACATAAAACCAACTAATTAACACCTAATTTAAATGAAATTAAAATCTCCAGTAAATTTGCAAGAAATTACGAAATCATCAATACAAAAGTTGACGAGCATGTTGAAGTAGATATTTGACCTCAATATCCTTAAAAATTTGCAGAAATGCACATAAGAAAATCTATAACGATATAATAATACAAATTAGATACCCATTAACTAAAGCAATTTAGGATATAAAAATGACTAATTGAAACTAATACTCCACAATAATCTAGCAGGACTTTCCAAAGTAAAATACAAAATCCCATCACGAAATTCAGTTTACTCAGCTCAACAGTTTTCCCGATTTAAGATTAAGTAGAATTAGTTAGAATAACTACTTCTTCAAATCAGATAGCTGATGCAGTAACAAACCTTTCTCTTGAAATAGTAAAATCAAAATTGCTAGGTTAGTTATTCTTATCTAATAACATTGTTATTGTCCCACATGCTAAACAAATTCCTTTTTGTCTTACTTCATCTATTTTTTATGACTATAGCATTGAAGGTGGTATCCCTCTACTTCTTGAGTTGATTGAATTTGTTTATCTAGAGGTGCAGGGAGTAGCTGCAAAATGCGTACAAACATTAGAATTTAAGAATGGTGAAAATTGGAGTAAAAGGGTCAGCAAAACTGGAGACAACTTAGCTACTTGCAGATTGCCTGACTAATGGTATATTGAGCATCATGGAGGTCTGTACTATCTAAAGAATAAGAAACTTTTAAATCCTATCAAAAGTTGTAGCACAGCTAATACAAGTCGCGTGAGATCAAGGAGGAGAAGAAATTAAAGGACTAAAGCAGGAAACTACAACAATAAATCATTTTGTTTCTTTATAAAAAGGAAAAATGAGATAAAATATTCTACCTAGAGGTCCAATTTTTTTCTTCAATTTTTTTGTTTATAATGAAGGGTGATAGATATGAGATGAGAGATAGTCACAACATTCGTTTGTGATTCAGAAGTTGGTATAGATATGCAAAGAATCATGAATCAGGAACCTAAAACTAATGGAGCATTATAGTGAACCCAAATATGATCATGTCTATCTATAATTATAATGGCATTTAATTAAAATTAAAAAAGTCGTCAATATTGGAATTCAAACATTTACTGAACCATCAAAGTAAGAGGCAACAATTGTTTAGACAAGGAAATATTATTGATCAGACGACTAGATTCTCTCGGGAGACAAGCTGATCTTAGCTACTAATCTAGGTTCAAATACGATTGTTATAATTTAATGACCTCACACATTTCCAGCCAAAGTAAGGGGACTTGGGATAGGAGAAAACTACGACTACGATAACGAGAACTCAAAGCAAACAAGTACGAATAACTCCAAATACAAGTAGCAACTAAAACTAAACAAACATATATAAGATAGGAGAATCAAAAAGAAGTTCAAACACACAGATGGATTATCAATACTTCGAACTACAATACTAAACAAAACTGTCAGACGTTATGTTTAAACATCAGTAAGTAAGATGGGAACTAAAAGACATTAAAATCCGACCGACTTGTAGTGTTAACATTGAGATAAAAAGGTCATTTATGTTAACTACGATGAATAAAACACGTTGAGACGAGGAAGCACAAACTATAACAACATTTAACCACAAAAGGCCCATGAAACAGTAGTAACAAAATATAAGAAACAAATTAGATAATGAACTCAGTCTACGATTTTTTTATAGTGTCTTGCTGGGGCAAAATTGATATAAATAATTTGAAAATATAATTGAATAAATCACGGGGAATAATTGAAATGTAAGACAACGACATGTTCTTCTTATCTTCAAGTAGAAAAAGATTGCAAAGCAAACATAAATTCAGTAGTAATGAACTCTAATTTCACTTAGTCATAATTGTTCATCTAGTAAACAAAAAAATTAATTAAATTTACACTACCTTATGATCAAAGTCCGCCATCCTCAGAACTGTAGGAACATATATTGGCATGTCACCCGAAGTTTGTTTTCTATGAGCATGATTTTGATCTGCTCCTGAATCATTAAGCATGGCCAAAAGGTCTGTTACGAGATACCGGCTCTGACAATATTTTAAAAGGAGAAATAAGTAGAAGTTGACCGGATTATAATTTTGAGTATGGAAGTGTAAAATTGTAGCAAGATATACATGTATTTTAAGAAGTTTTCTCAACAATATCCATTGATTTAAGAGAATCTCTTAGCTTGTCAGACTCTAAAGATGGTTCGTCCGAACTAACATTCTTTGGATAAAATCTTAATCATAAATCATTATCATATGTCAAAAGAAAGATACACAAGAAAAAGGAAAATGGAACTGAATGTTGTTACTGATTATTATTAGTATTCTAATGCAACTGATCTCACAATGTTATGAAAAGAAGGTACTGACCTGTCCTTTATATACCTTTCCTATATGAAATATCTGAGTAAAAGCTCTCCGGCAAAGCTATTTTGCTTGAAAAGCCTGTTATTATGCGAAAATAGTAGCTTGTCGCTGTACAGACTACTTCCCCTGTATAACCAAAATGAACCTACAATTTTTAGTATTTTTCACATCTAGGTACAATATATAACAAAACAAAGAGGAAGATGAAGAAATAAAGAGATTGGAGGAACAAGAATACTAGAGATTGAGGACATTATTAAATTAAGCGACATTTATCTCAAGAAAATTAAGCGACATTTATCTCAAGAAAATTAAGCGACTATTCCTATGAAAGAAGGACAAGCAAGATGAGAAAATGATAGAAACACCCATATAAATATGGCTATCGGCCATATTCAGGAAATAGGAGGCTCCAAATACTATAGCAACACTTTTGTTTTGAATAGAGTCACGAGAAAAAATAAAGCTTAATTGTCACGACTTGGATTCTAGAATTCGAATCTCTATCGGCATCATTAACCTCTCATAGGTCACAAACAAGCCTCTTCTTCGCTTTCATCACATTCATATAGTTAAATTTTCAAAAAAATTTAAAACTTTTAAAACATAATGAAATATACATAGACTTCATATAATTTCTACATAGATTAATATTCTACTAAGCTCAAATTAAAATAACCATCTACAATTGATGAATCAATTCAAATCAAAAGATCAATATATAATGTAATACTTTGCAAAAACGGCGTTATTACAAATCTTCGAAATAAATGTCTGAAAAGAAACGCTAGGGACAACATCCACTAGCTATGTCTAAAGTACTAAGCTAGATAAATAATGTATAATCCTCGAACATCAATAGGACCTACTAAAATCTGGAGATCAACAATCCAAACAGCTTCGATAAATCTTCATCCTTGTCTCTGATATGCACCTATAAAGATAATAATAGTATAGGGTTAGTACACACGTGTACTAAGTATGGGTATATGCACACATGCTCATAAGAACTATGCCATTTTTGGAAAGTGACATCACTAGACTTTCCTAATTCATTATTTGTGAAATGGGGTATGAATATGACGTATATTAATGCATTCAAAGCACAAAACTCATTTTCTATATGAATACAAGACCTTAGTGTAACATTCTGGGAAATTACATGTCTAGTGAAGAGTCCAATAGGTCTTTAAGAATGTGTATTGGGGGTAGATAGGCATCCCAATGCCCAATACTGAGAAATATTGGGCATAGTATGAAAAATTGGCTAAAGGGTATTAGCCAATTTCTATATAATGCACAAATAAGCAAAATATTGGGAATATTAGAAAACATTGGCATAAAGGGGTGTTAACTAATTTTTTAACATTAATGAGCATGTTTAAGAAATGTACCTGAAGTGAAGACCTTAAGCTAAAAGAAAATCCGTTCAAAATAGTTTCACACAACGTACTAGGGATCCAAGTGTCAAGCCTACTACCATTCCACATGACGATTTAAAATGATCATGTAGATTAAGAAGTGCCCAAGGACATAGTGAGGATCCTCGGGAAAGTAAGCTAACATTTCCAAATGAACCATAAATAATAGTTGGTTAGGAAAGTACAAGCCACTCATGTGCAAGCACATGGGGAGAAACGGCCATGAGGGGACCACCCTAACAAAATTTGGTTACAGTAGTTAGGGGGCAGGTGTGCACATGGGCTCACCCATGTGGGGCCTAGCTCTCTAAATAATTCTATACTCTAATCTACTGACCTAGCAAACTAATTAACCTAGTACTAACCGAGATGGAAAAATTAGTGCACCCGACAACCAGAGACTTAATTGGATTCACACTAACCTTGTTATGGTTAAAGAGACAACCTAGTACCTAACCTAGGATGGTCCAAAGAGTAATTTATGGTCCTAACAACTTAAAGGTACTTTAGAAATTAACTTATGTAACCTAATTAATTAAATTAGTCATTTAATTAATTAGTTTAAATGGTCAAAACGAAATCCTTTCACTAACCTAGTATAATTCAAGAAACATCCCACTACTTAACCTATGATGGTCCTAAAGTGGTTGATTATGCTTCCAATGACTTAGGGGTACTTTAGTACTTAAACTAGGTCTCTAAATTAATTAAGGTTTTAAATAATTTATATAAATTCAAAATGTTTACTTACACCATAGTTAACACCAATTTCCATATTTGACTAAGTGTTATGTTTTCCTATTTCTTGTCAATCTAGGAGGGACATTTTAGCAATTCACTAATTTATTTATTTATTTAATTAACTTAAATTACCTAAGTTGAATGAGTAAAGGTCAGCTCCTAAGACTTATATTGACGTTCAAACACTAATAATTTCACAACTCAAATCAATGAACTAACGAAAGCCAAAAATGGGAAAAGTTTCCATCGCGTTCTAGGGATATTCCGAGGTTTCTTCAACTTTTCGTTCAAGGTGGTCTTCGTAGATTAACTTCTACATAAGGTATGGGTTTATATCCTAGAATTATTTCTTCAAGAGTAAATTCCTTCCGACGATTCATGAGATCTTGAAAACTCGGGTTGTTCCATCGTTCTCGTCGAACTTCCTTTAACTAGTATCTTTATACGATTTCAATGTTGAATAGGTTAGAGATCATGTTGTTGGTATGTGGTGTTGGCTGATCTTAATGTGTATGGTTGCCGAATTATGAATGCCGAATGAACCTATGAAATTGTTATCGTATGAAGTTACATGTTTACATCGTGAATTAAGAATCGAGGATATGCTAGTTACGTCCGTATATGTTTACGTGTTGGTGTGTTTGTCTGAATGTTGACTTTCTGTTATTGTGACGTTATGAAGATTTATATTCATCAAATGTTAATGATTCTGTCCAAGATATTAAAAAACATTATCCCTAAAGTGATGAGCTAAGAATGGTTAAAAGGACCTCTATGAATTCACATCTTGATTGTATTGTTTATCTTATGTCAATGAATTGGCTCACATTACATTGTCCCAAAAAAATACATGCAAATGGATATAAATTTATGTTAAATGATAAAAGTATTGGCTAATGGTTCATACATATTAAATTTAAATATGAACGCACGTAAAATTGGCTTATGCCAACAAAAATACTTATGTAGTTTAATATCAAAGTGTTTAGGCGAAGACTAATCATATGCCAATCTCTTGTAGTTAGAGTAGAGAAATGACTACATAAGAAATTCTAAACTAATTCAATGAACCCATATCCAAGAGCATGACATTCATTGGAAAACTCCCACCATGTTCTATAAGAATTGATATATGAACTTATGAAACTCATCGCATGAAGTGCTCATCATCCATAATCAATGATATAAATCTACTACACTAAAGTATGTAAGTAACATGAGAAATAACATAAATATTGAGTTTTAATTTTAAGAAATTACCAGAATGAGGTATTAATGGATGTGAGACAAGCCTCACTTACACCTAAACTACTATGTTAAAAATACTCACGAATGAAGGTGTTAGAATGTGTGAGACTAGTCTCATTAACACCAAAGGTTGATATGTAAGGATAATTGACATTTCATCAATGTACAGTAAGGATGACAATTCATCAATAGAGTAAGTAAATCTCAATCTAGAAGAAAGCTTCCATAATGTTTGAGTGAATTCTAAAAGATAAAGAAGATAATGAATGTGAGCGAAAAACCGATAGACTAGTTATAAGCATGTGCTTGCACGTGTAAGTCTCATGAGACGAGGCTATCACTGAGGTGGATAAATAGTACTAGCTTGTGGTTTCCACATAATAGAGCTAGGTATGTTCCGATTGCAGCTTGGACAGTGAGATCACCTCCTTTTGGTGTGGGGTATACACTGGATTTCATGTCTAGATAACATGATCTATGTCGGTTAATGTTGAAAATATGTTCTTGGTTCACTATAGCCGTGAGGCAGTCCTTTTCGGTGTGGAGTGAACACTTGAGATGGATTCTCCTTAGCCGGGAATCACCCCTTTTTGGTGTGGGGTAAATAATAGATTTCATAAGTAGCTCATATGATTTAGATTAATTTTAATCAGTGAATCACATCTTTTTGGTGTAGGGAAGAATGTGGATTTCATGTTAGCTCGTCTAATCTTACTTCTAATGATGTCTCTATTAAAGCAAGGAAGAATGATGATGGAAGGTATGTTCAAAGTGAGCTATGAAAAAGAGCTCAAGAATGTCAATTGCCAATATCAATACTCATAAAGTTTCAGCAAATAATGGGCAAGGCCAAATAAGAATGGCTTATAATGACTTCTTATATGATGACAATAAAGGGAAGTAGAAACATAATGCCAACCAAAAACCTCATAACTTCTCTAACATGAAAGTAATGAAACAGATGGCATAGCCAATAGAGATTGTCTTATGAAATCTTAATGGATACATAGAGTAATGAATGACTCATTGTAAGGTAGTGAAATCATTCCTTATTCCTCAGATTACTTACTTGATTCATTGTGGGTATGGGACTACAATGAATCATTGTACTTGTAAGTAAAATATAGGATCAAAGGAATTGTTGAACTACACAACAACAAGAAGAACAAGACAAAAAAAATCCTAGTGTAAATAAAAGGGCTCTCGGGTTAGGCATAGCAAAATTTCAAATTTTCGCTCGAGTTGTTCTAAAATAATGTTGATGATTCTAATATCTTTTAATCACATACAAAATGAGTTGTGTGCTTTGAATGCATTAAAATACGTCATATTCATACCACAAGTCACAAATAATGAATTAGGATAGTCTAGAGAAGTCACTTTCAAGAAATGGCATGTTTTTTAGGAAGAAAAGCTTTCCTTGATCATGCATAGACTTATGTGTATGTGTGCATACACCCATACTTATTAAAAGAGTATGCTAACCCTATACAATTTAATATTTGTATAGGTGCAGGTCAGAGAGCTGATTGAAGATTCATTGCAGCGGTTTAGACATCAGTGTTCTCCAGACCATTTGGTAGTTCCTCTTTATTTAAAGGATTATATATTTTTTAGTATAGTGTTACTTTTAGACATAACTAGTTGATGTTGTAACTAGCATTTATTTTATACGTTTATTCGAAGCTTTGTATTAAGGCTATTTTGGCAATGTACTATGATATGTTATTCTTTGATCTGAAACTTATTCTGTATTTATTGGATGGTTGTTTCTTTAGTTTGAGCTTAGTATATGATGTAACTATGTAATAACTATATGAAGTCTATGTATAGTTCAAACTTTTTAAAAAAAATTAAATTTTTCCGCTAAAATTAACCATATGAATGTGGTGAATGCAAGAAGAGGCTTGTCTGCAACCTCCCAGAGGTCAACAATGCCGGTTGCGATTTAGATTCCAGAATTCGGGTCATGACAAACTTGGTATATGAGCATGAAGTTAAATAACCTGGGAACTAAAGCTTAAAACAACCACATTACATAATTTCTAGCTTATGGTTGTGAAGAGCGCCTTAATCATGACTTAGAGACTACGTGATGATAGGAAGTCTTCCCTTCTTCTACTATTTATCGTGCTATATGGAATTTTTACATCAAGTGTCATTAAAGAATCTAACTTTCTTCTTGTCTCTACGTATAGAAAATGATACGAGGAGAAATGCAGACAGGAGAGTTGGTGAGGCAGCTGCTGGAGGAAACCAAGATCCTCCTCAAGCTGTAGTTTCTGCAGCTCGAGTGCCTGTCAACCCAGCTTAATTGACAGACAGTGAAGTGTGGGATGCATTGATGCATATGGAACATGCCATCACCACTTAGGCCCAGGCCATCACGGCTAGCAAGCTGAGGCACTTTACTAGAATGAATCCCCCAATTTACTACAATTCTAAGACCAATGAGGATCCTCATGAGTTCGTAGATGAGGTCCACAAGATACTATGTTCCATGGGAGTTGATGAGGAGGCAAAG